TCTTTTGTAGAGGAAGGAAGGAGTCAGTCAGGAAGGGTGACTTCAATTTGGCGATGCGTTCTACTTTTGATAACATCATTTACACATTTGCTTTCAAGTTTTGTTAAAAGAGTAATCAATTGTGTGAAAATACATAAACAATTTGTTGTCAAGTTAAATAAACTGTGTAAGTTACTGGTAATCTTATATTGAGTAGACAATTTATGGTTGTATTGTTGTGTATCAAAATAATTCAAAGTAAAAATTGCCAATAAAATTAAACTTAAAGGCGTAGAATTTAAAACCAACTTACTACATGCATTTTACACGCACACGATGACACAGTGCATTTTGTATATGATTACCATTAGTTATTCCATCATATCCAACCAGGGTTACAAGTGATATATATCACTGAGTGAGATTTAGTGAGATTTAATGATATATATCACTCATCTCACTTGGGGCTGAGTGAGATATATGAGAAATAATGAGATAAACTTGTAGTTCATGACCCTGTCCGCTAGGTGGCGCTAGTGGATGGCTCATAAATCTCAGTAAATCTCATATTTCTCATGTCTCACTATTTCTCATTATATCTCAGTGAGATGAGATTTACGAGGGTGACATGAGATTTCTGCAACCCTGTATCCAACCTTTTCTGTTCAGGGGCAGGGAGGTTGACCAATGGCTACCGTACACGTTCCTTTTCTGGTGTGTGTTGTACTTCTCATTTTTCTTAAAACATACGTATTCCGCGCGGAGCTTCTACATACTTTTGTTCTCACACAAGCTTGTTTAGCCAGTCCAAATCTTCCTTTCCCTTCCGCATAGATCGGAGTACTCCGGCCTCCGGAGGCCGGAGTACGCGAATTTTTTGGAGGCCGGAGTACGCGGAGTACGGAGTACGAGTGGTTGGTCGGAGGCCGGAGTACGCGGAGTACGCAAAATATCCGATCTATGCCCTTCCGTGCATACATTTAACCGTAAAAACTTGAAGGTCGTAGCTTGATTGAATTAGTACTAATAACTTAAACCCGTATAACTGAAGGAACTTCCTGTTGGATAGTGACATATTTTATTCATTAATTTGTATTTATGTTGATTTTGGAAAGCGTGGCTTAATCTGGAAATTAAATAATGTTGATCCCCATGAGTAAAACCTATTTTCCAATAACAAACCCAAAATTGCCAGATTGATAATATGTAAATTGGGAAAAAGCTAAAACGGATATTCTGGTTGACCGAGGTATGCTTAGCAACATTTAATACAAAAGGTGCATTGTATAATATTGTGTGCTTATTCCTTAGTTATTAATTTAATTAAGGTTAATTTCATAGAAGCATCATCGGGTAAACAACATTTAAAATTTCCTGCAAATCCTAACGAAATACAATTAAATTCATTGATTTTGAATAATATATCAAATTTCCTAGCCCAAGCTCATCTAAATAAAATTATATCAGTACGCATCAAAGTAGGAGACGCTTCTGGCGCAACCATATCGATAAATCGTGCTTTAGGAAGCCAAAATAGTATGGCGGATGTAATATTCAAAGTTGCGGGATCATATGCAAAAATATACAAACGTTTCTCCCGTCTTCCGATTGAATTTGATTCTAAAACTAATCGTCTCATCGCCGTCACCGAAATCAAGGACCTACTGGGATGCATATTTGGCTGCGTCGTAAGCATGGCAGTATGCGCGTGGATGCCAAAACTTGCGCAGCTTCTATATCTCATATACCGATCCCTTCAGCTGGGCCACTTTCCAACCACCGCGGAGGAACCGTTTGCTTCACCAATGCAGCTTCTCTCCATCGCAATAATTACGTTCGGATCTGGCGGTGGGACCGTAATCACAGTGTTTTCGTGCATCTTCAACGTCGACCTGGTAGAATTGATGAACGGACTCCTGAATCTCGAAGAGGACTTGGTTCGCCGGGGTAAGTTTAAATTTCGTTTGTTTGGCTATACATGTTAGATAGGGGGTTCCTCATAGGTATATAGCCTGGGAGCTTTTCTTACCATAATTTTCCTACATGGTACCATGTATTCAGCGTCTTACATTTTTGTAATATTTGTTTCCTATTGTATAATTGTAGTAATTGGTTTTCACGTAGGTATTGAAATGGAGGAAATCAACAAGAACAAGTTTAAACATAAGAAGCGAAAAATTCCCACTGTGAAGAAACTTATCGGCGATTTTGTATCCCTCCTTCCATTCTTTGTTATTTACATGGCGCCAGCTTTATCAATCTTTGGCGTCTACAATGAATTAGACTCCTTTCACTTCGTATTCAACTGGTGGCCTGCATATCAACACAGTGGTATGGTGCGATTGGGTGTGAAGCTCAGCTCCTTTATCTTCGTCACTCTTTCTGCAATATCGGCTGGTCAAATCCTTCTCGGAATGGGGTACATGTTTGTGCTCACGGCGTGGATAATTTTCCACAACATTTGCCTAATTGACCTGGATTGCAAGCAGCGAGGAGATCTGATTGTAGCGCGAAAAGAACTGAGGTAGGCAAATATAATTTTTTTAAACCCTGAGTCAGATTACAAAACCTAAAAAATAGATCGCTTATTGACAAGGAAGCAAAATGTATGTAAAATTAGCCAGACGTACTCCAGTTTGTTAAACTAATTTACTAGGAAAACGGATGCATATATTTCAACCTCTTGTATGCAAACTTGCCATCAAACTGAAGAATTGACTTAAACAAGATGACTAGCCAGCCACAAGCCGAACTGTTTAGCTCTAAACACCGAAATTAGCCAGTCCCAAAACTAGACAAAATACTACAGTGACCAAATTTTTTATTCTTTACTAGTATGCAGAAAAATGTATCACAAAATGTATCGCAAAAAAGACTGACTACGCAGGAGTATAAAATGCTTAATTTTATGATGTAATAGGTTTAAGTTCATTTGGGCTTAAATATTTGTATTTCGAATGCCCCAGGGCAATTGTGGTCTTGTACAACCGAATTGTGCTACTTCTCCTCAACGTGGCACCACCACTCTACTCCGTCACACTCTTCATGCTGGTCAGCTGCGCCGTTGTTATTGTGGTACTGAGCTTAATGTCGATCAAGATGCATGGAATACTTCCTTGGAATATCTACATACTGGGACCGTTCTTTTCCCTTGGGTTCATCATAGTTCTGAACACCGTGCTGAAATGTGCCTCATCCTACCAGGTTCGAACCAAGGATATGTTACACAGGTGGAAAAACGATACTCAACTGGTGGCTTCTGGAGCTCAGAAGGAGCACAGTAGGCGAGTTGCGGCGATGCGACCAATCCTTCTCTATATCGCGGTATGGCGGACCAACATCTTCCCGGTTGATATCAAGTTTATGTGCGACTACAATGCCTTCCTTGTAGATGGCACGATTGCAGTACTACTAGCTGATGAATAGGATCCTGATTTCCAATTCTGGTCACCAAAGTGTCTAAACTGAAAGTCCGACTCTGTTGTAAAAACGCGTCAAGTTTGCAGCTCTGACGTCATTTTGCTCCTCCCAGCTGGTAGAGAGTTGAGTTGAGCTGGGAGGAGCAAAATGACGTCAGAGCTGCAAACTTGACAATACATGGAAGTGTTTGCTCGTGTTGATGCTTATGAACGTTATTCCCACAATATACTGGGCTTGGTAGTTGTCCTAATTTTAAAAATTTCGAGCTAGCAGGATATTGCTACGATAATCAAGAAAACAAATTATTTATTAACCCACTAGTGCTTTGTCCTCTGGAACGATAACTTTGTCGGGAACATATTCCTTGCTATGTTGAATGAAGCAAACTGATCTAGCTAAACATAAACGTACAATACGATGACGCCAGCGGTCTCGCTCCGATATCGACGAAACCAAGATAATTATTTAAGCTTACATAAATAATTATGCACACGTTTAAGGATTTTTCATAATGCTCAGCTTAAACAAAATTATGAGGGAACCCGGCAGTGAGAATTTCCTTTTTTACCGTGACATTTTTTCTCGCAAGGATAAAAAATGCATATTCTCGCTTACGGATTCAATCATACATAATTTGGCAAAATGCGTGGATATGAAGGGGTTTTAAATTGCTCTCACAAAATTTCAAAATTTTGGATAATGCAACAAAGCATAAATTTAAAAAAATTCAAATTTTTTGAAACCTAGATTTTTCTCAACTCGCTCACTGTTATTCTGTACAAAAATGTTCATTAATTTTTGAAATCGGATTAAAATTAAAAAATTTACTATATTTTTAAAAATCCTTAATTTGTCTGAATAGTCGTTCAAAAACTCAATGTAAAATTTTCTTAAAAAAGGTTATGCATTTGCTATGATGGAATCCGTGAGCGAGGATCTGTATTTTTCACCCTTGCGAGAAAAAACGTCAGGGTAAAAATGCAAATTCTCGCTCACGGATTCCATTATAATTATCATAAGCTGAGCATTATGAAAAATCCTGAAACACGTGTCTAATTATTTACCTAGGGCCACATAAGTTTCATGGTTTTGTTAAAATCGGAGTGAGACCACAGGCGTCATGGCATTGTTAATTGAACTGCTTATTAGAAAATATATTTTAAAATATATGGGTTGGTTCAGCGAAATATGGGATACGTTAGGGAGCGGATACGGTAGGATACGTTACCGGAAAGTAAAGTATCCCAGACTAGACGAATTTCGCTCGAAACACTACCCCCGCATCTTAATTCGTTTCAACTAGCCCTCTCTATTTATTTGATGTACAATGTCGTTCCCGGCATAATGGAAGGTAAGGCGAATTCGGGACAGGTGGAACAGATTGAGATGAAAAAGGGAGTGACTTGAAGCTTGATAGTAGTATGCAATATTTCTACTTTATTTTATCCTGTTTATATGAGACTGGGATCTTCGTTTAAGTTTGCTCCGGGTTTGCAATTATCGCAGTGAAATTACCCTCCTGTCGGATAAATTGGAAAAGCGCTGTGCCACATATATAGAGTTTGATTCAGAAATAAAAATTTGCAGCCATTGAGAAATTTGGGAATAATTTGATTCTTTTATTGAGGTTTCCACATTCGCTGTTTTTTTAAAATTATATATACATTATAGCTACGGCTTTATGTGCCAATAAAATGTTGCTTGGTTACATAAATAAATAGTTTATTCAGTTATATGATTAAATGGATAACATTTACATACCCAGGTATTTAAATACCAAATGGTTTAGCGGAGGCTAAAAAACTATTCAACTCCTTTGCTAATATTGTCTCGTGATGATCACTACCATCGGAATAATTGGATCTAATACAGGAAATGACGACAGAAAAATGTAGTTGTGTTTTTTAGCTTGCCTTGCATTTAGACTAGTTCATATAACTATTCATGAAATTGCAGAAGTTTATCAATATAGTCAAAATAAAGTTTAACAATTATAGGCGCGATCTCTGGATTTTTTGTAGCTATATATTTTACTGCTAGAATTTGGCAAAGATGTGACAAAAACATTTGCACTATTCAGCTGATGTCGGCTTTGCTATACACTTTTCTAAAAGTTTAAAGGCATAAAGTTTTCTTTAACGTCTATTATAACAACCTAATTAATAAGAAATTACCAGCTCCATATATCTGATTAAATACATGTAAGAAGCTAGATTTACTGGTAAGGACAAAATACAATAATCTTGTCACAACTGGAAAGTGGCATACACACATTCAGTATTTTTCTATTTTAGCTCAACAAAATCATAAACCGTTTTGAACCTAAGCACCCGGGACTCATCCAAATTCAACTGATCGCCGTCTAAGAGTAATTTTTCTGAATCTGTCACCTCATTATACAACCGACTGGCTTGTACCATGTAGTATTCAAACTTGTTCGTCTCGTCCATTACTCCGCGCAATTGCTCCAGATTTTCCAAACCTTCCTGCGATGCATCGTCCCCTCTCCTCCTCTGCTCCTTAAATTCCATATCATACGAAACTCCAGCCAAAAACTGCAAAGCCTCGAATGCTTTATTTTTATCGTCCTGGGCCAACAATTTCCTGTACATCGCGTCCATCCTCGCAATCGCATCTTCGTATCGTTTCAAGTGGGTGAGTAATTTACAGTAGATGGCTGTTGTACTGAATTCCCATCCTGAAGATGGAGATCCACTATCATCATCTTGATTGAAAGGTGGGAGAAATTGTAAAAGTTTTGACTCAGCCTCCTCCTCTCGGCCTGACCGGTTAACAAAAATTCTGACAATACGACAGTGTCAAGTGTGACTCTCCGATTTGGTTGATATTTTAAAATTATGCAGCTCATCTCAACGAAACCAACACATCTTCAGGCAAGTTGGGTGATGGTCAGAATTTAGCAAAATGCTTCAAGGCAGAGTTGAAAAATTTGCAATTTTTAGCACCGGAAAAGAATAAAAGTGTAGCTTGTGTGTACTCCGACTGCCAGTTTTTCAACTTTGACCTCAAATATTTGGACAAATTCCGATCATTGCACAAACTGTCTGAAGGACCGTCGGATGTATTGAGTTGGACCACATGAGTTTTACATTTTAGACCAAATCGAAGTGTTGCACTTGACACCGTCGCATTGCAGGTATATTAGCTCATTGTCATTGTTATGTTGATGAATAAAAATACCCACCCAATTTTGCCAGGATATTTACCACTACATTCAACATCCCCATGGCCTTGGGATCTAGTAGGGGAAATTTGTGTTCCTTCACATTTGTGAGAGTTGCTAAAACTAGTTCGGCTTGAGCTAGAATGGAAACCAATACGTTTCGATGGTGGTCCGGTAATTCTTGTTGTTTTCCATTTTGTAGGAAAGTATCACAGTATTTAAAAGTCCAAACGAGGCATTGACACTTAACTCGGAGTGGATCAACCGGTTCCAATTTTTGGATAGTTGGAGACAAGAGAATTTTTTCTAATTCCTCTATTCCTTCCAGTTTCTCTTCCTCATCGCCTATGTCGCATTTTGCTGCTGCCACGATGCTTCGTAACTGGTGGAATTTTAAATAAATATTGAGATATTAAAATTGCTGGAAATTTATACTAGAGAAAATTAATAAATTCTATGTAGCTGTTTAACCTGTTAATTACTAAGGTACATTTGTGTACTAAAGTACTTGGGCGTAAAAGTGAAATCAAGTACAATACAATCAAACTTGATTGTATTGTCTTGACGTTGTTTGGCCAATTTGGAGTCAGTGAAACAAATTTTTGATTTGAGTGGGGAAATGACGGGTGACCAAGTTTGACCTGCCAGAGCTTTACCGTCAATTAAGATACAGACTAGCGAATAAATTGGGTTGAAATATGTATTACTGTGAGTAGTAATTCGGAATCAAAAACACCTCAAAGATCTTTTTGGGGGAGTAACCTTACCCCCAATTTGCCAAAGTCGCTTGATGTAATTTTTTTAAATCTCGACTTTTGCGTCATTTTCGCATCAGAAGAGATTCCAAACAATGCATATTTCTATTTTTGGACGTTTTACATCATTTTTGACGATTTTTGAGCATTGGACGTCACCTGGGAAAAAAATTATTTTTCGACCGAAAATTTTTTTGTCGACAAATTTTTTTCGAATTTCGAAACAAAAAAAATTCGGGTTGTAGATAAAAAAATTAGGAACATTTTGCACTTTCAATGGTTCTCCCCAGTGCTCCGAACGGTACGGTATCGGTACGGTATCGGGACGACCCGATCGGAACGCTGTACCGATTGGGTTTTCCCGTTCCGTACCGATTCCCGAAGCTAGGTTGTTATCCCGTCCCGAACTGTCGCGAAGATTTTTCCGAACCGATACCGTACCGTGCCGAAAACCGACGATTCGGTACGGAATGTTCCGATATTTTTTACGAAAAAGATTAATTAGTGGCGGGTTATACTATAGCACAAATTTTGTTATATACCAACATCAATTTTTAGTCAAGAAAGGACTTCCCCGCTATCCTCCTATTGACAACTCGTGTAAAAGTTGTCGTATTGATCTGACATTTTGTCATTTAAAATACGTGCAAAATATGATACTATGTAACATTTTTCTCTAGCTTTTTGACAAAATCTGTTTGCTATCCTATAAGTTGTTTTGGATCAAATAATTAAGTAATTTGACACAAAATTGTTTGAAAATGGCAAATGTTTTAAAAAATTAATATTTCACGAGGTTAATTTTCCACTAATGCTATCGAGTCGAATTTTAAATTCAACGAAATCCTAGTAAAATCCAGTCGAGATCACTAAATAGTGGCCGAGGAAGCTTACGAACCTAACCCTTAAATAAATGCGTTTTGATATTGTTAATTAAAATTAATAGTATCCTAACTTGTTCATGGGCGTCCCCTTAAGAAGTTGTAGAGGCCATGAGTTTGAATTTATTTTTTTGACAAAACTAATTTAAAGTTACACAAGTTTGAAAATGGCAATTTGCAATTGACGTATAGTTGAGCAGGGACACTCAGGCTAAAATAGGCTGCACTGGTTTCATTAATGCAGAATTTAACTTGCAGTACTACGAGTTTACTTAAAGAATCCCTACGTCAAAAACAAAATAAACAAAATTTCGGGATATACCGAAAATTTCGGAACGGAATCGGGAATCCCGATACCGTCCCGAACTTATCGGGACGTAGGCTTGTACCGTTCCGAAATCGGGATTTCCCGAATTTTTTTTTCGGGACCGCGGATCATTTAATACCGTACCGTTCCGATTCCCGACGGTACGGTATCGGGACATACCGATACCGATCGGAGCACTGGTTCTCCCACTATGAGATGCCCAGTTTCAATTTTTTTGCAAAAAAATCGACTTTGGGCCAGTCTTACGCCCCTTAGGAGCGTCGTAGGAAACAAATGAAAATACCGTTGAACTCAGAAAAATCAGCTCTAAAAACTGGGGAACTCTAGACGAAATCAAATTTTTTTTTGTCCGGGGATTTTCCGTCACAAATTATTGTTACTCTTTAAAGAATTTCTTGGATATTAAAATATCTTTCTAAGGAGAATGTATTTTGTTGGAAAAGTCAATTGTAAAACCCTGACTTTTTTGGTTATTTGTATTTACAAAATTTGGAGTTTTTCAAATACCAACCAATGTTAAAAAGTGGATTTTTCATGTTTTCGCAAAAAAACTCGAAAATTAGAATCTGGTTGAAAATTTTACTTCGTTGCTATCAGATGTATTTAATTATCGTGTATAAAGACCCGTCCATAAATTACTTAACGCAACATTGGTCAGGGAGGGCCTAAGACTCCAATGATATCGTGCCTATGTTACACATGTTAAATGGGGGGTGGGGGTCAAGAAAATCACGATTTTTACGCTACGTAATTTACGGACGGTCGGTGCCTAAGGGAAATTTTAAAAAATTAGTAGTTCGAAAGAGGTCAAACTAAATTGTGCATACCTTCATTATCTCGACAGAGTCAAAATCTGGCGGAAGAAATAGGTCACATTTGTTCCCCAGTTTTTCCAACCAGTACAAACCGTCCCCAACATCCCAACCGAAACAGTCATCGTCACATTGATTATATGCATTCATTGCTCTAACAAATAGGTCATCTCGTGGTGAAATATATTTCACCACTTTTTCCACTATTTCTGTAAGAAATCTGTGTTTTTGCTTCAAGATTAGGGCAATAATGGGATTCTCGGCATCCCAAGTTTTTAGTGTTTCATAAACTTCCAAACTTTTTTCAATTTCAATTCTGATTTTAAGATCTACCTCGTTTTCACCTCCTTCACAGTAATCTTCTTCCGACTCAAGAAATCTGGCAATCTCTTTACCGGACGGTCTGATATTAACATCCCAATCTAACATTTTTGTTATTAACTCAATTTCGCCCAGTTTCGCGTCTGATTGTAACGATTCTGGAAGTTTCCGTTCGTCAGATGGAGCCATCGCGGAGAAAACGGTATCCTTTAACTCCCCTAAGGTCGTAAATGGGCACAGCAAACAAATCCAGACAAGTCCCAAAGAATAAATGTCACTTTTATGATTCGCACCTACCACAATTTGTCCACTTTTCTGAAACACCTCTAACTTTGCCACTTCTGGAGGGAGGAAAAGCCGCCGGTTTTGAATTTCCTTGTCCATCTCTTCCCCACTTAATTCTTCATCTTCGTCTTCTTCCCCACTTAATTCTTCATCTTCTTCTTCTTCCCCAAATCCTTTGGTGGTACAAATAGTTCTTCTGTAGGATCCCGTTAGACCAAAATCTGCCAATTTTGCGACAAGTTTTCCACCACTCTTTTTACACCTCGTTAAAAGCACATTGCTCAATTTCACGTCACCATGAACCAAATTCTTGATTTGGAGATAGACCAGGGCTTGCACGAGTTGGCTAAAAATGCCTCTCCTCATTCCGTGATTATTTTCTAAAATTATCCAGTCGTGTAACGTTCCTTCCGTGCAATATTCCATTTGCATGACGAGAAGTGTAGGGATTCGGTACGGGGTGTGTTTGGCACGTCTAATTTGAACGGATGGATAGCTGTCATCCGGCAAAAGATCGCTTGGCAAGGATTTTAATAGATTTCCGATTTCTTCACAATCCTCTTCCGCCCAGACGTTGTAGCAGGCAACGATATTAGGATGACAAAGTTTCGACATGAACTTAACCTCGGAAAGTTCACCTTGTGGGATTAATTTGAGGGCGAACGTACTTTCAAGATCCGGCTCGATTACGGAAGATTCTTCATTCCAGGACAGGTTGTACACGTTGAATTTGTTGGTCTCGAATTCGACTTGATCTGCTCTGAAGACACAGCCAAATCCGCCCGTTCCTAGGGGTTTTGAGCCTAGAGCGAAATGGGATAAAAGTGGGGACGTAATATTTCCTTGGGGGGAATTATTATTCTCCGAGGTGGATGTTGAAGGCGATGGATTTGTGTTTGGATGCGACATTGGGAAGAAAAGTATGTTATTTCTGGTGCGTTGGAAAAATACGAGAATGAGTTGTAAAAATAAACGAAATATTAACTGCTTAGTACTTCAATCGTTTCAAAGCATATGTTTGATACCCAGCTGAAGTAATACGTATATGTATTACATATCTCAGCAGTATTAATTTCATGGTCGGCCGATTAGTGTGATAAGCATAAATTGTTTGGTCAATATCTTATCTTGAACCAACACGGCGAAGCATTTATCGACGCATGTGTGTATGTACATAAATGCAAGTTTTGTGACGCATCATCAAAATCAGAATTTGTATCATGAATCATTTTTCTCTTATTTTCTCTTCTCTTCAGTTTATTGGTCTATTAAGTTTACATATTTTATAGTCCGATATATCTGGACTATGAGGATGTGAAAAGACCTCAACCGCTATACTAATACCCAGTTGTATTTTTCTTAGTGACGCAAACACCAGGCAACAAAAATTCACTCAGTAAGCAGTTACATCATCCGAAAAAAGTGACATTTAAGCATTTTGCATAGGAAATGTCAACCGATTTTCATGAAATTTGGACCACATCATTCTTATGCAATTTAAATAAGATTGAGCAGAGGGAATTGCGAATTTTTGATTTTTACTCGAGCTATGGGCAAAAATGTGCGGAAATTTGCCCTCATATTGACATTTTTATTCAGTATTTTATACTGGGTGATCACATCGTCATGAATTTTCTCATGCATTTATAGCACGTATTTTCGAACATTTTAAGACCGAAATGAGCCAAATCGGTTAAGAACTAATCATTTTATATGCAATTGAACTGTGCAAATTTTGCATAATGATAGTCCCATGCAATAATATTAAAATAAAAGTTTCCAAGTTGTCATGATGCAATTAAATAAGTAATAAATAAATAAGCAAATATATATTTTAGAAAATTATTATAGTAAATAAATAAAAATGATGGTTGGAATTTTGATAGTTTGGCTTAATAAATACTCAACTACAAGTATTAAATAAACAAGGTCCCAAAAAAGTGGAAATCTTAGTGACGCGGGTGCAATAATAAGTACTAAATAAATTTATAATTCATGGGATTTGCATCACGACTCAGGCCATTTATTACGAATTCCTTCTCTACTCTCAATCGGAAAATCTCCTCCTCCGCCTCCTTCAACTAATTAAAATGCAAAAACATTAATTTTCCACCCACTAATTATATAATTATTAACCACCTTCTTTGAAACGTTAAGGAAAGCTCCATATTCAACTGAATTCTCCAAAAGCCAAAGTTTTGACCGTATTAAAATTTATAAATAAAAAAAATAAATTAAATAAATAATAATAAATGGCCTGAGTCGTGATGCAAATCCCATGAATTATAAATTTATTTAGTACTTATTATTGCACCCGCGTCACTAAGATTTCCACTTTTTTGGGACCTTGTTTATTACATTACAATTGCAAACATGTTATAATATCACATACATATGTATGTACATAAGTAGGAAGAGCCAACTATATATCGTCGGACTAATTCTAAAAACACGTAACTGCACTCGCTGCGTAATTCTAAAACCACGTAAGTACACAACAAAAAACAAGGAAAATAACCTCACTGCAATTCCAATGTAGTATGCAGTTGATTTTCATAGTTATAATTTATAGTATGATCTTGTACAACTGACTGACGGTGGAATGAATTTAGGGTGACCATCCGTCCCGGTTTAACCGGGACATGTCCCGGTTTTCAAGACCTGTCTCAGAATCAAGTGGTTATAAAATAACGAAGGTCAAGTACATAATCGTCGGACCTTCGATCTTTGGCAAAGGATGACTATTTTTAGATCTTACAGACTATCAAACCCATACTGTGGAGTAAATTAAAAGTCCGTAATAAAGTTGGGGTGGCCCGCCAACAGTTTTCGCGATATGAGCCAAAATGTGCAATTTTAGATCAAACTCGTCCAAATTAGGTTAAATACCACTGGACATATTTTGAACTAGAATTTGGCCACTCTCTTGATTTCATACCCCATTTTTGTATATGTTGAACTTTGCAAAATAATTTCCTATTCCGTATTAGTCAGTTAAGATAGATATATACAATGAAATAGGGTTTGTTTCGAGCTCGAGAGCGAAAAAATCGCCATCCATCATTTAAGCCATCAAACTCGAAAATTGTTAAAGCGCGCCCTAACTATTTCCGAGTTTGATGGCTTGTGCATGCCAAACGAATACAAGCTCTACGTCGGGATGAATAGGGCTAATTTGTAGGAAGTATATCTGTTTAGATGTTTATCAATTTAATCGTGAAACCTTGGCGAATTCTTGCTATTTGTGATCAAGGCCTCCGCGTGGGGGTGCTAGGTGGGATGAAGCTCTCTGTGTGATCAAGACTGCTTAAAGAATTTGAGAAGGAGTTAATGTTTATGTAAATTTAGACTATTCGGAAGGTGCTATTACATCCACATATCTATCCATCCATCCACCACATTAGGGCAGGGCCCCGAAGGGGCCGGGCCTGCAGTCATTGAAAAAATGAAATTTGTCGCGCACATAAAAGATATTGTCTAAATAATTTAATGCAAATTGAAATATGATTCCGCACTGGAGAGATTCTCCCGAATATGACATAGTTGGAAAGTCATAAAATTTTATGGGGCGAAATTGATCCTAGTTATACGAGTAGTTTAGCTCGTTTTTGCGAACGGCTTTTATAAACCCGTCGGCCAATCTCAACCTGTCCCTAGTGGTGGGGGACTCAAAAAATCAGATACACATCAAGTGGCTATTCTTTCTCTGATTCTTTGGCATGAGCTTATGTTCGTTGCAATATTAGTACTTGTTCATTTCTATCCATACATAATCAAATAAAATGGTACCGAAACTGAAGTCGGAGTCACAAAAACCTGTAAGTGACACAGGCAAGGAACGCTCCGGCCCCAAGCAACGACGGAAAGTAAAGAAAAATTTGATAAGAAATAACATATGTTTGTCATAATTTGTTTCGATTTAAAATTTAAATCGAAACAAATTATGACAAACATATGCTATTTCTTATGGCCTATGTGTATCACTATGCATTTATTTAAAATTTAAATAAATGCATAGTGATACACATAGGCCATCAACAAACAAGTTGCATTAATCAATTAATTGGGAATCTATTTACATCCAAAAATCTTAAATAGTCTGAATTTTAAATCCCATTTCCACATTCCCATTTTAAGTGATTCTATTCCATACGAACTTGCCGCGAGGGAGATGCACACTGCATAAATTACAAACAGTATTTTTATCTTATTACCCTCAATCGGCCTTCCTTCTCTGACCAAATCCACCGAATTTCTTTCCTCCCTTGCCGTCACGACTCTTTGAAAGTAATTCGTAAAATTTGAGCCCCCACTTCTGTTGTGATGATCCTTAATATTTTTAAGAAGTATCCAAGCATAATAATTATTCTCCCGATTCATTATCATTCCGGCTTCAACCATATATTGCAAATTCTCCTCTAAAATTAATCCAAAAGTATTTCTATGCGTTATCCAGGGTATACGAAATGTCTCTATGGGATCCTCGAAATTCCTCGAAATTATAAAGTACTTTTTGAAAATTCCCATGGAAACGTGAAAGTCACGCATGTAAGTTGGATGATCGATCATAGCAAAAATACTTGGTCGTATTTGGAGTTTCCTCGTCCCATTAAGGTACAGGGGTTGGTTTTGCGAAAGGTTGTGGGCTGCCGCAAAGTTATCGTTTTCAATCAGCTGAATTTTTGCGAGAAGGTTTCTCAGCATTTGAAGAAACGTTTTCGAATATCCTGAAGTACTTAGCAACTCAGGAATCATAGTTCCACTCACTATACTAACATTTGTATTATTTTCTGAAGCAGATGAAATAGTAAATATTGGGATATCCTTCGCCACAGACAACTCCTTTAAATTTCTTGGCAGCTGTGGTATAATATTAGTCGTGAAAATCGAAAAGAATTCCCCGCCAAACATCCCGCTCACTATGAAAGAGATAAATAGCCAAATTGAAATTACCCAGGATGCCATAAGCACCCGCAGTTTATTGACACAAGAATTCGTTTCCTTTTTTATCCTAAATTTTGTCCCCTGTTGGAGAAATATGCTAATCGCCCACATCCATGGGGCAAATAAAACTGGCATAAATTATAAGACTGCAGCATACCCCGAACACTATCAGTATTAAAATCCCTGCCAAATCAAACATTTCAATCAGCGAGTTTACACTTATTTCAATCGGTAGGGCAAAAAGGGAATACGTTACAGGATAGTAAAGTATGCCGGACTGGACGGATTTCATTCGAAACACTACTCCCGGCATTATAATTCGATTCAAGTAGCCTTCTCTATTCAGTCGATTTACATACGCGTACCCCACATAATTACCCACATCAGAAGAGTCTGCATCTATTAGTGAAAAGTTGTAAAACTTTAACTCTGACATGGGGCAGGTCTGTTGGGAGGTTAATAACCCATGACACCTATAACTACACGGAACATCCCACGTTCGCCAAAATGGGGAAAAAATTATTTCGTGTTGATTCATATTTTTCATCAAGTTTCGCGAATGCCGAGGTAAATTTGCCAAAGCTGACGTTGTAACAGGAATTAACCGCTTCTTATTTTCCCTATCGGTTGGTGGCGTGCATGTCAGGCAGAAAATTGAGAGTACCTCTGAATCCATACTGCTATGCAAAAGGATGGAATTGAGACTAAACTGAATATGTTTGTTGAAATAATAATCCCGATTGTATTCAAAACTTTCAGGGTCGCGGTCAAGAACAAGGATATAATCGGTGTCTTCGTTGAACGCCGTCATTCCCCACATGACCAGCAATAAGCTGGAGCAGAGAAGTTGTACGATGTGGCAATTTGAATACAATTTAGTAAAGTTATTCTGACCGAACAGGTAGTTTGGTATGATTCCTCGATACCCCCAGGTTAAGGATTTGGATCGAATATACCTATTGTTCGGATCTTCCAAGTTTTCTATGATGAAATTGAAGCTGAACTGAACATTAACAGAGTCGACTAGAGTATAAATTGTTTCCCAACGAGGGTGGGAAGATTGATAGAAAA